AGCTGAAGAAACAGATATCGGAGCAACAAGAAAAGAATATAAGCAAAGAAAGTTGAAAAGGAGAAAAAGAAAACATTTTTTCTCTCTCTTACATGTTTTTTCCTTTCCTTTCAACGAAACGTTACTAGTAGGACACATGTGCTCGATGAACCACTTGTAGAAACAAACACAACTATAGTACTCCTCAGTAGCTCAAATAGTTCAAATTCAGCACATAATAGGCAAAATCGGAGTAAACTAGCATTCTTCGAGAGTTATTAAAACAAAAACAACACTAATAAACATGGAGAACAGGAGACTAGACTAAGAGCTTCTACGGTAGTATTTTGAGCTGAGACAAATCGATAAGTCAAAGGGAACATTGGTAACCTTTTGTCGTGTTCCTAACAAGCCGTACTTATCTGTGACATGATACTTCTCCTATGATGTGTGATGTCAACAGATTCAAGCAGAAGACGATGCTAAACAACATCCTATTACTAAGCATCGACATCAACAGTGGAATTGAGTGGGATGGAGGGGAATGGAAAGGAGTGAAGTGGCGTGAGGCCAGAATTTTTAACTGGTTCCGATGCCTGAGAGGTGGTTTCTGATTGGAATATTCATGGTTCAACACTCTACTGTATAATGGGTTCGCGCTGAAAAATTTCTCTACAACTTCTCTACAATAATCTTTCTTGAGCAAAATCAGAAGCAGTGAAAAAAAGCCACCGACTAGCAAAGGATGATAAAGAAGAACAGATAGTGTTCCAAATTTTCACAAAGGAGAAGAAGATTTTTGCGTCTTCCACGGAGAGTTCGTCCCTCTTCTTCACTTTTTGAAGTCTAAAAATTGACGCAGTAGTGGTAGCCCGTGGAAATAGCTGAGAAATGAGTTCGTCTTGTTTAAGCGACAACGAAACGATGCGGCGTTTGTTCCACAGAGAAAGCAACGTGATCATAACCCTCATTTGTCGCTGTGTCGTCTCGGTTTATTTTCAACTGTGAAAGAAGTTGATCACTTTATTAACTTGCAATTTTTGAACAGTTGCTTCGCTTCTGGAGTGGAGTGAGTTGACATTGATGTAATACTGATGAAAAGCAGATCCATAGATAGAATATTAAGAGAAGTAGATGAAATGATTACTTAGATACTTGGACTGCCCATCTTCACTGGTTGTGCGAGCTCCAGCATAGTCTCCATTTTTCGGAGATTTGCTGGTTAAGCCATTATAGTTCCCTGGAATCCCGAGGACAGCTTGGCCAAAGTCTGCCCCGGATCGTCACCACTACAGGCAGCAGCCCTTGTGGATCAGAGGAAGATTTGCCACCATGGAGTTTTGATGCCAGAACGGTGGTGGATCCTGGTATTGGTTTACTTTTAGCTACGCTTCCTGATGGAAACGCCGGACTCCTTCTCAGCTTGGGAGACCCTGCCGTGGAGTGGAATCCCTCCGCTTTACATCGCAGTCCGACACCCAGGAACACCTCCTAGCCACGATGAGGCAGGAAACTGTTGGGAAGATTAGATGATTAGAAAGTCTTAACGAGCAAATCATTACAAAAGAAAGAAAGCAAAGAAAATTAACTGAAAAAATCAAAACACTGGTGCAATAAAATATTTATACATTTTGCAATGAATGTATAGATATTAACATAGTGGAAATATGGCTAACTTTTGAAGTTTTTCTACAATTTCATGAATGATATTGAAGCAGTTCGACAGGTACCTAATGAAGCGTTAGCTGATCCGACAATTGTCAGAGAGCGAAGCGGAAGACGAAGACAAGAACGTCCTCTATAGCAAAAATTTCAGAAAACGATCACTGTGATGAACTAGCCAGCGAACAAAGCACTGTGGAAACAAACCTACCCAACAAGGTCAACGACAAATTTCATCGCCGGGAATAATGCGACGATGATCGTTCAACATCGATCAGCAACGTCGCAATTATCAGCTTCTTACGTCTCCACTCCTCCTGTTCAGTGCCATTCAAAGTTTTCCTTAGTCAAAATTGAGACCCATGGAAATTTTGACTGAGAAATCTAATTGAACCAGTAAATTGAAAAGTTGGTTAAGTAAGGAAGTATGTATAGACAGCTGTCTTTGCAAAGATAGCAGTCATATATAAGTAAGTTCACTAAGAGATATTTGTAAATCAGCGAAACTATATCGGAAATCTTATTCGGTTTAACGTCAGGGCTGCATAAACCGCTTCCAAGTGAAGGTTATGAACACCGATGCTATTAGTGATTGCTTCTTAGAATCTCAACCTCTAATGCTACCTTAGATAAACCCGATAAGCTAAAGACGAATATATCCACTCTTTAAGAGCCGACTTCGGTTACTTTAGCACGAAAAGGTTGCAGAAATATGGCGTTTAATAAGAGAAACCCTGCCGTTGTTCTTGTTCATTGTCATCGTCGTTGCCGCCCTGTATAAGCAAACTCTATTTAAACCAGTTAAAATCGAGTTAATATGGAAGTTTTTAATTTTTGAACTTACCATTTATCTGCCTAAACATTTTTTAGTGTTGATTGAAAGCTAAGGACCGCCATAGTTACCACAAGACGGTTCGGTTTTCCACAGCTTGTGAGCCCAGCGATAGACACGACGTACTAACAATATGTTCTTTTCAGCATCGTCGAAAACTCGAACTGAGTTCATCCAATATCGAGAAAGAGTCTGATTATAAACTAACCAACGGAAACAAATACGAATGTTATTAACGAAGATGGCAGAATTCGTAAACAAAGTAGTTCATAAAAACTGGTATCTTTCAAAACATCGTGTAGAGTTGATTGGTCTGGTTCATCATAAAGGTTCATGTATTACAAGTCGTTGATACTTTTGACACCTGTCAACATTAATAACGGCAAATAAGATAGAAAGTACGAAAAGTACGTGAGAAGTTGAAGGTCTCAGTTCTGAAGTTACCGCCCATCTACCCGCCTTTCGAGAGGACACCCAATCGACCCCTACGTTGCGCTGCCCTATAAAAGCCGCACTTTTCTCATTTTATACAATGAGCATGCCTTTAACACCAACCACTAGTTCTTGCTTCATAAGCCTTCAGAAACTCTGTATGAATCATTTCGATTAGGTTGGGTACAGTAGCTCATAACATTTTCACTTCACTACTCGGATTTTTGGTTTTTCTGACTATTCACTAGATATAAGAGTGCTGCTTATCATGACTAGAAATAGGTTTTTCATTAAAACCAGAGTACTATGCTACTTTCTTCTATATTTCGTTTATTTGAAGCTGCCCATGGCCAGTTCTCTGTTGTTCCTCTGCCTTATTTTCTCTGGCCGTCTTCCTACCCCACAGTCAACTGACCTTGCCTGATAGTAGACAGTATTGCTTTCGATATATGCGGTAATCTCAGCATACAACTCTTAGAAATAAGAACGACTAGCGAGCTAAGCTTTCTTTGCTAATAGGTAGCCACAAATGTAGTTCACTTAACTTTCATTAATAGTTGCACTATTTCTGCTCTGGGCACAACTCTTTTTCCAGTAGTACACCTATACTACAGAGACTGTTCAGCTTTCCGCAGTCATTCGGATCTTTTTGTGTGTTCCTTGTCTCGAATGTTGTACAGGAAAGCGAACAGCATATAGAATTTTTTCTATTGGAGAACGTCAGCAATACAATTGGATGACACCGAACTGTGACTGGTAGCTCTTTGTTGCGAATCCGGCTAAAATGCTTTTCGCAGACTAAACTATCAGGATCTATTCACATTTGAAGTTCTTCCGCTTTTTCTACATTGCAAATAATTAAAAATATTACTCCAATAAGGATGATTCACTATACCTAAAAAAATAAATAACATCTTGTGTTTAAATTGTTGAGCTTACACGAGGTTGGTAGATTATTCCTATTCGGCTAACGTTTCAACGTCTTCGCTTTCATCAGCGCCGATGATCCCAGTGGGTGGTCCACAGTTGCTCTTCTCGTAAAAAGTAAGTAATATAGTTTGAAATGCACAGCCATCATGAATTAAGCTAGGGAGGTGCAACAGAACTGCAGAACCGTTCGATTTTTACTCATAGCTTTGCAGTGCCTTTTATCAACAGCTGATGATTATTCTTGGATTTCTAACACTTTTCCAACTTGGAAAAAACACCTATCTATTCTGAAGCGACACCGCCTCGAATATACGAACAACTACGGACCATCGACTTGGATCATCGGCTCTGATGAAGACAAAATCGAGGAAACGTTAGCCAAATAAACATCTTTATCAACCTCGTGCAAGCTCAACAATATAAACACCTATTTATTCTATTTGTACACGGTTTAACGAAATACAACATTGTTTTTTTTAATATTGGGAAGAAAAACTTCCTTCCTTTACCCTCATTTCTCATTCGCAGCCTCCTTATTCTCATTGGAGATCTTCATCATCTAAAAATTCTCCCTCTTGTGCTCAAGTTGTTCTAAGACTTTCACATTTATACCTTTCATTGGCAAATAAAGCATAAGTGTAATAAGACTTATATCCGTCGTTAAATATGAATAAAGGAGCAAACTTTCGTCCACGACTCTTTCCGTAGTTGAAAAGTTGCTTAGCTACTGGCCAGTTACGCCTGATTCAAGAACATGAAGTGATAAAGAAGAAATGAAATGGTTGCAAAGACGACTGAATAAAAAACGGAAGGGTTTCCATCATGTTTTGTTCCAAAAAAAATGATTTAGTGATGTCACCTCCATCCATAAGAACTACCGTATTTAGCACTGATCGTTTATTCGTTGAAGCAATCAAATAGCAAATCTGATTTTTGTTCATTTAATTCGTTCCATACAATAGTCATCAGAATTGCCATCATCATTCAATACATTCGAAAGCGAACGTTTTCGTTTTCTATTGAAACGTCACCCTTAGAACTCATTGTATGAGTCGCTTCGTCCTCGTTTCTTCAATTCATCATTGTTGTGCTGTCGTCAATACAAAAGTTAAAGACAACTTCTAAATGAGATCTCATTTTACCAGTCTCAGAGGAACTTCCAGAAATGCGTCAACAATGGGTGATACTGGCATTACTTCTGCTTTTTACTTTCGCACTCGTGAATGCTTTTATGAAACGTGTCCGAAGAGAACCTCCAAGAGATTGTTCCGATGCTCCCGACAAAGACATCAAACACACTTGTATTGTGGTGAGTTGGTAGTGAGTATTTTGTTTCGATAAAATAATGCGACGTCATTATATCGCTTCAAAAAAGTAGACGAATTATTTGTGAAGTATAGAGGTGACATAAAAAGGTAAAGAATAAAGCCGTCGGCTTTGATCAATCCCGTAAAGGTGGTTGAATGCTTGTGCGGTTTATACAATGACCTATGAGCTCCTCTGGTGCACCAAGTCAGTGTTTCTACTTTACAAAGCAATTGCATTACCAATTTACTGACCCTGGAGGGATGGACACCTTGACTTGCCCAGTACAGTCTGGAACCTGCGACAATGGTGAGTTGTTGAGCATCTTTAGTCACTACGCCACATATAATGCTTTTCTGGAAGGCATAGAAGAATAAATCCTTCTTTTTCATGATTTATTAAAAAGAGTGAATCTGAATGCGAGCTTAAATTCCTATGTAGGTCATAGACTACCTATATTGCATTCTAGATCCGGCAAATGGATAAAATCACTCGACGGAGAATTGCTCGTCAAGCCGTAAGAAACAGTGTAAGTTTGTCTACTGACAATAAACCGTTAAAGCCTATTAGGTTTGATATTTTCGTCACTAAGTTCTCGAAGCCGAATTATCATTAATGGATTTCTGCAAGGACTGGGATGAGGAGAAACGTTGCGAATCTTTTTCAGCAACCACGACAGCCACAACAACGGCAGCAACAACAACGACAGCAACAACGACAGCAACAACGTAGGAGAGAACAAGCTGCAACCGTGGCACCACCAACACCGCCTCCAATCATTGGTCCTCCTGATTGGCTTTTGCCAATACCCGTGCCTCCAAACGCCCGCGGTCAAGTGGCTTATCATCCATACGACTGTATGACGTTAGCGTGTCTTTGTCCATTTTTCGCAGTGAGTCTCTTGTTGCATTGCAAGACTTCAATCTTCGAATGGAAAATTTTTTCGAATACTTGTTCACTTCGTAGGGTTCGAATTTTGATAAACTAAGGGTAAAGAACAGCTTTGCTCAGGGACAGATGCGTGGACAACACTGTGTGCTGTCGAACAGTGTTGTTCTACGGATGGCTTATCGCAAAGAATATCGAATGCTGACAGACGACGAACGCAATAGATGGCATAACGCCTTAGCGACCTTGAAGGCAAACGGCGAATACGACCGACTCAGCCGTCAGCACTTGGATGTAAGCAATCGAAAAATGTTTAACATAACCATACATGCGTGATTGTTTAGAATTCTACCTAATGTTCTCTTTCAGGTCGGCATTGGGTCGGGGGCACATTCCGGACCAGGATTTTTACCATGGCACCGGGAGTATCTTAAGAGGTGGCGAAAGCTTATCAGTTCTGAATTTTGGTAAATCTTAACTTTACAAGATAAGAGGACTTTTTGAGAAACATTGAACTTTCAACTACCGATCGTCGTTTGTATTCTTAGAAAAGTCCTATGTTGCTGAAATGCTTAAAATCATTTTTCTTAAAGATGTGGAATTTTCAGACACCCTCTAACATTCTTATTACACCTAGCACCTATTATACGCACTTTTTATCGCTAGCGATGTCCTCTGGAGCGACATTGCATCGGAAATGCATGTAGTCAGCGCGAAAAACCGTGGGAAGATGCGAATATGAGCAGATTCCGTCGAGTAGCACTGGTCTTGCACAAATCTGACCAAACGTTACCAAATTTTGTTTTTTCTTCTAAAGTGTAGAAGGGCGCCTGTGGCGCAGTGGTCGGAGGCCCCTTGCAACACACACGTGAGATCGATCCTCGCACCCATGACCCACCAAGCCTTCCATCTTTCTAGAATCGGCAAATTGGTACCGCATTTTTCTGGGAGGATAGTAGCACTGGCTCTATGCATTGGTAGGCTACCGCGAGTCATTGGAAAGGCCACATATGCATTCATTAACCTCCAAACGATGCTTAGTGAAGAAGAAGTAAAAGAAGAAGAAGAAGTAGTAGTAGAAGTAATAGTAGAAGTAGTGCATGGCGCATCACTCAGGGATTGATCAGCGCCGACAGCTTTGCCCTTTTTTTATCCTTTTTTGAAGTGTGGAATTAACGATCCAATAACGATGAAATGGCATTCGACAGAAACATCACCACAATAATGCATGTAAACGCGGTGAACTGGTGCTCACAGAAGGAATAGAGGAAGAAAAGACAATTATGAAAAATCACAATGTTTGGAAACATATTCCAACTAGCGCCTGGCTTTTTCTCCATGCGTTCATTTTGCCCACTGAACATTGTAGACACCTGATAAGAAATGCTTTCACTCTATTATGATATTTCACCGCCAATTCGATTGCTGTAGAATTTCTTCAGGTCCGAGACAGGGAAAAATTCTGGATTTTAGTTGTTCCCTTGCATCAGACTTCAAAGATTTATTCAAAAAAGCTGTCTCATTTCTACATGTTTTAACATGACGGTTATTTAACCTCGGCATAAATTATCAGTACCTTGTTAGATTACTAAGCTATCAACGTATCTCTGGTAGTAATAACAAAGCACCATTCATCTCCATCACGCAGTGAACTATGACCCTTCAAATAACGCTAGCAGTGCCACGAGAGAAGGTAGCCATGGATACATTCCTGAGCTCTACTTTAGCATAGATTTGCTCTTAGCTGAGCTTCCAGATAAGAGATGTCCATATTCATTCTCGGCTTGCGTAACTTGTCAGATAAATGAACCCTTCACTGTACATTACAGTTAAAAAGTCGGAGTATTTTCAGAAATGTAAGGTAATAATTTAATTGCTGCAGATTTGAAATCGCTCTTCGCATGGTCGACCCAACAGTTTCGATACCGTACTGGGACAGTGTCATCGATAACTATCTGCCGGACCCTAGAGACTCTATCCTTTTCTCAAATCTCTTTGCTGGTGAAACGGACTATTATGGAAATGTGATACAAGGACCATTTGCGTATTGGAGAACACTGGAAGGACGAAGCACCATTCTGAGGTATGTCATAGCGGCTAATATTCTAAGGATTTATTCCAGGCATAAAATCTTCTTATTCTAGAAATCTCGCCTATGAAGGATCGCTGTTCAACGAGAACCAGATAAACAATGTTGTTGCGCAGAACACAATTGAAGACACGCTTGCCTATACGGCACCATTAGCAGGTAGTCTGTTTATTCATCTTCTTTTATGGAGATGAACAGTTCTGTGAACAAACTGTTCCTCTAAGCAGTTCCAATACTAGTGAGATACGAAGATGTCTTTTCGAACGGAGTTTTACGGATTTCTACGGATACGAAGGACTTTTCTTTACAAAAAGACGGATTATTCCCGATAGCAGGACTCTGCTAACGTCCTTCTAAAGGATACTGCTGTCTGTTTTATTTGTAATTCATTGAGCCAACGACATAAGATTGATCACCATTGTCACACTATTCCGATTTTCACACCGATTTTACAACAAGTTGTCGGCCTGCCTGTTGAAAAAGCCATGTTTGACCCAATTTGTCATGAACATACCTAAAAAAACTTGGCGCAAAACTACTTATGAAGACAACGAAATGAAGACAATGAACTGAACAGAACGCGTAAATATGGCAGAAGAAGGTCCTAAAGGATACTAGACCATAAAAACGGCAGCTTAATGAGTGAATGAATACTTTCATTCAAAAGAGTTCTATTACACCTCATGTAGTTATACCTTTTTATTTTCTGCCTATTATAATTTCGCGGCAGGGTACTAAGCGAAATACAACCACAACGTTGCTGAGACATTTGCAAAACTCTGGACCGCAGGTGTCTATGGTGGGGAACGAACGCGCTATTGTCCTTTACGGAGAGTAACGCGTTCACCACCACACCATGCGGGTCCTTTGTTTCGCCTATCTCACCTCATGTAGTTACTGCTACCTCCAACAACTGCATTTCTGAGACCTTTCCTGAGTTATATATATATATATGCTTTATAATATTTGTAATAAGTGATAACGCAGAACGGAAGGAAAACACCTCGTAAAGTAATAAAGGACAAAGCAACCTCTTGTAGTTAATCTTTTGCGGAGAAAGCATGCATTTAAGTCCATTCGTAGCGTCTTAGGAGTGGGTGAGTGAACATTTGGCATTCATGCGTTCTATGGCCCACTAGTGTGTCAAGTTAACGTTTTCTATCCTCCTAGACAGTTATGGCACCAATTTGTTGACACTGTAATGAAGAGGGGTTGAAGCAAGGATCTTATAGGCATTGCAGGGTACCTCTAACCGTGTCGTTACATAGGAAGAACTGTTGAGAACATATATTAATGACACAGGAAAGGTACCTTGACCTTTCACGATTCACTCATCATCACCCGTTCACTAATACATTTTACACACAAATCGTCGTAAACAAGCTCTATACTGGCATTTCAACCGATTTAATGACCTCGCATCGAAGAAAAACACGACAATAAGTCTTTGTTAGTTGTGTCAAAGGTCATTTCATGCCATAAGAATCACTACTGTGTCAAAGGGCCACGGCATGACATCAAAATAACTGCGGCAATTTTTTTCAGCTAGCGATCATTGTGAGTCTTAAAAAGTAGTTGTAGAAACCAGCAATGAAGCATTTGATTCTTCTGCATGGACTCTTGCTAGTTTTACAGTTATTTTTTATCTTAAAGGTTGTCCATACCCAAACAACTACGGAGCAATTGAGTACATTCACTCAAACATACACTTATGGATCGGAGGAGATATGAAACCACCAACCACCTCTGCTAATGAGGTAAGCCGCTTCGGGCAGATTGTACCATGATGAAAAGGGAGATGTGACAACGTGACTTTCCTGAAAGAAGAAACAGTCCTATTAGCACGGTCATACTAGTCGTTCTTTAATATCCCTTAATTTTTCAAACTTATTAGAAAACCATCTTTTCAGCCGCTTTTCTTCATGCATCACTCGTTTGTTGACTACATATGGGAGCTTTGGCGTCAGCTTAAACAACCGAGATGGCTGAGAGAAGTGGTGGGTTGAACTTCTGTAGTTATAAACGAAGAACACCTCTGAAAGAAAGTCGTAAAAGAGCTCGTTTTTCTAAATATTCAACAGAGTGACTGGTTGGAGTTATTAGCACCATTTCTTCCACTGAATCGCCTAGACTTCGAAAAATACTAATATTAGAAAATTTTAGTCTTTTTATTTACTGCCTATTTTTTTTAACGGCAAGGTATATTGCGAAATATAACTTCTGTAATGCTGAGATGTTTGCAAAACCTCGGACCGCATGTGTCTGCGGTGGGGAACGAACGCGCTGTTGTCCTTTCCGAGGAGTAATGCGTTCACCACCACATGCGGGTCCTTCGTTTCGCCTGTCTCTCAACTAGTTAATCTAAGTAATACATGGCCTTCATTCAAATGACGAACCTGTCTTGGGAAAGCCATTTCTCCTACTTTAGGCTTATTCGAATGACCACGGATACTGTACAAATCAACTGCACTTCAGTTGGGCGTACATGAGACCGTTTCCCTATTTGCAGAACAGAGACGGTATTTTTTGGAATTTATGCAAGTCTTATTGCCAATGGCTTTTCTTCTTATAACTTTATTCTCTCATAGGTCTTTCGAACTCGTACACTGATCAAATGTATCGCTACGCTCCTCGGCCAAGTTGTTCGTTCCAGAATCCTGACTGCGGTTCTCCCTATCTGTTTTGCGACACCAGAGGGTTGGTATTTAAGAGCTGTTTTGTTCTCCACTGATTCGAAAAATGATTAGATACAAGACCGAATGAGTCAAATATTTCACGTTGCTTACGCGCCAATTGAACTTTCCATCTTTCTGCACTCGATAAGTTCGCACAAGGCTCGTTGGTGAAAGCGAAAAAAATACCGTAAAAGGTCAACTTGTCCTTGTAAAGAGTGACAGCGCTGAATAGTACTTTACATTCATAAAAGCTAAATAGAGAAGTACGATTCAGTAAGACGTGACATCCTGTAAAAAAGAGTTCCTGGTGCTGTTCAACACCATAATAAATTAATAATGTTTTCATTTTGCATCCCAACGGTTTACCGCCTTATCGTGGCTAGGAGGTGTTCTTCGGTGTCAGACTGCGATGTAAAGCGCGAGGATTCGTCCCCCAGCAGGGTCTCGCAAGCTGAGGAGGTGTCCGGCGTTTCCAACAGGAAGCTTAGCTAGAAGTAAACCTATACCAAGATCCACCACCGCCCTGGTATCAAAGTCGCATGGTTGCAAATCTCTCTCTGATCCACAAGGGCTGCGGCTGTCTGTGGTGGTGGTGACGACCTGGGTCAGACTTTGGCCAGGCTGTTCTCAGGATTCCAGGAAACCACAATGGCTTAACCAGCAAATCTCCGAAAAATGGTGACTATGCTGGGGCCCGTGCAACTAGTGAGGGCGGGTCGTTCAAGTATCAAGTAAGTAAACTTCATTTTGAGCAGATACGAGATTTCAATGATGCTGAGATATTTGCAGAACTCCGGACCGCAAGTGTATACGGTGGGGAACGAACACGCGCTGTTGTCCTTACCGGGGAGCAGCGCACTTCACCACCACACCATCCGGGTCCTTCGTTTTGCCTGTCTCTCAGCTAGTTCTATCGATCTTTTGCTATCAGCAATCACCCGTCAATGAGATTGATCTGGAGGGCCCAAATCGGCAACGAACCCAGTTAAGCTGAAGCCGCAGTTATATACCTAGCTCATATCTGACAACTTTTATTGTCCATAGTTGCAAGGAAACGAAAAAAGTGGAAGAAGTGCACGAGAAAAGTAACAGCTTCGTTGGAATTTAAATATTGAGTTCTTCTGACTAGGATGTGACATAAAAATTTGACCGAGTATATTGGGTATCAGTTTGATCTTCCCTGGCTCTGATGAGGGCGAAACAACCGGAACGTCAGCCAGTGTTCTATAAAGCTTTTGGTATTTTATTAACAATTTCGTATCTATAATCACAATTTAACGTGTTATTTACTGCCTATTCTTTTTTTAACGGCAGGTTATACATTGTGAAATATAACTTCAGTGATGCTGAGATATTTGCAAAACTCCGGACCGCAGGTACATACGGTGGGGAACGGTGGGGAACGATACCAGAATATCCTTAACTTCAACGTATATTGAAATATCGAATTAACTGGCACAGAATAGGTTTAATGAGCTTTGTTCAGGTATCCACACTGTGTGGCTAAGATAAAAATGAATGGTAACTGTCAGGGATTTGAGAACTATGACTCATGCTACAACGGACGATGCTGGTGGGGACGATGCATTCCAACAGTACGTTCTTCGTCAGCTCTGTTTCATCGTGAGCCTCATTCGCAAGTTTTTAGGATATTTATAGCAGTCTGCTAGCGTTCTGAGATGAGACTGCATGAAAAATGTGAAGCCAAAAAGAAGGCATAGTGTAGAAAAATGACAAATCCACGTGATTGCCTTTACAGGGTAGAATGTGGGCATCAAAAACAGTGAAAGACGTACAACCGTTGAATAACTCAGCCGTCAACGATTTTCTAATGTCCACTATTGAACACCACGAGATGGGTGAACCAGCGAAACCACAGAAGTCGATTGCCCCTACATTCAATAACTGCCATAACCGGTGAGTAGGTGGTCTAAGAGACGAGTACAGTTAAATGAGTGATAGAAAGACTTAGTCTAAAAATAGTTCAAAAAAATTAAGCGAAATTTGAAAGGCCATTCGATGGTAAAGGGTAGATCTCATCACATACTTAAACGACCCCGCCCAGTTTCACTTTCCTGCAGTCTCGAAAGCTGAACTAGGGATTCTCTGGATGGATCACCGCTAGCCAACTAATAACTATGATAGTAAGGATTCTTCGCAATGATTTACTCTTAGCGAGCTTCCGGATATAAATCTCGAACTCTTTCTCAGCTTGGGAAACCATGCTGGAGGAAGATGAACACCTTTGTTTACATTACACGAAGGAACTACTATGAGGCGGTAAACTGTTGTGAGCAATGAATCAATAAAGATCGACAATTAGGCACGATTGAAAAAAAACTAAAAGAAAAAAGGAAATCTAGGCAGGATTACTCCCGGATTTTGGGCCTTTCCTCTCGCTTCGCACTGTTCTAATCCTGGTCTTCAGTACATCTTCACCTAATTTCAGAAAAAAATCGTGTGTCCTCAACATAAAGCAGTCATCGCCAACCGCGTTTAAGTGTTTCCAGTAAACTTTCTATAGTCAGAGCTTTCAGTTAGTTCTGCCATATCTTTTAGATCACCCTGTTGCCAATTTTGGGCCGAACATGGGTGGTGCAACATACAACCCGAATACATGGGCGTCTATTGTGGTCCGAGCTGTGGATCGTGCATACCAACCTACAATATAACTAGTGGTAAGCCAAGCGGGTCGTAACCTGAAATGGTCCACAGGAATTCACTATATTTCTTAGCTTTCCATTTTGAAAAAAAACATGATTCTAATTGACGAATAACTCAAAAATACTAATATTTGAAGTGGAGTGCACGGATCTTCATCCGATGTGTAAGGAATTCAAAGCCCAAGGTTTATGTCAAGGCAAATCTGAGGACTTCATGAGGGAAAATTGCCGTGTTTCATGCCAAACATGCAGAGCTCGGAATGAGAATCGGTGCTATCGAAATGGAAAGGTAGGTTCAATCCTTTTTCCACCATTTTCTCAAACCTTGTGGGAGATACCAATTATTTCTCTCGAATTAGCAAGTGTAAATCCTGATTTTTCAACGGTTACTTTTTATTTTGTTATTATGGAGTAGTATTCAAGTATCCGAGATATCGCATAAACATTCCTTACTTGTCAGAACGTACTACCAATATTGACTCTTTGTTTTACAGCTGATTCCTCCTATCGTGCCGAAGGATCTTGTGCTTTCCATCCAGGACACCACCGATTCAGAAGTGCTGGAACGAGTGCAACTAGCGAAACGATCAATTCGCATGAAGAGGGCAAGCATAGAAGACTCTCAGTAATTCTTCGGTTTTCACTTGTCGATGCTTTATTCTAACTCTTTTCTTCAGCATTTCTTCTTTCTTCCATTTAACTTTCAATTTTCATGCATGGTCTCTTAAAAGCTCTGTACAATGGTTCGCTCACGGGCTGCTTCTTTCTTTCTTCTTTTCTTTCCCTTTATTTGATTTCAATGGTTTATTGTAGAAAGTTCCGTAGTCAGGACTAAAGGATGTCCGTCACACCTTCTTTAACTGGTAATGGTTAAGCTCACTCAGGGATCCTCTAGAGCTTAAGCTGAAGATTTATGTGATGTCACAAAATCGGACTTCCTGCCTATGCCGGACTTCGGCTCGAGCTGTGGTGGGATGCAGCTATCTCGCAGCTCACCAAAATGCTCGATCTCCACTCATTTCATTGTATATAATTATGTATATTATATCGTTGCCTTTTTCTTAATAAAAACGATTTCGTTTCTCACTAGCACATGCACACACGACTTTTGCATCTCGCAAGGAATGTCGACATATGAAATGAAAAGGATTGTCCTCATAAGGAAAATCGAATCAGGAAATGAAAGGTACTCTTCGAATCATTACATCAAATCGGTCTTTATGGGAATCATTTCTTCAGACTACAGGAAATTTCTTCAAAATCAACTCCAAGACAGAGAAGTCTCTTCATTAGTAAGTTTTCAAAAAAGGGCAAAATACCAGTTTACGATTAATATAGCGCTTCTTGGTTTAATTGCGGGTTCTTTCTACTGGTATAGCTACCAACCAGCGTAGTGTAAAAGACGGTTGGCTTCCGTGAATGAAACGATGAGAATGTTAAGTAAAAACTGCTGACCGAATGACTGTTATGGTTCAATTGCCAGCTCAAACAAGCAGTCATTCAGTCCCTGCGCTTAGAATTACTACAAATCTTGTGAATGGTATGGAAACGGTAGCAAAAAGAAACGGTTAAGTAAGCTGTAAAGCGGTAAACTTTTTTTCGTGTATTCTATGAAGTATACATAGAACTCTCCCGATATCTTCAATAGATTTATAGTGATTAAGAAGGAATCAGATGAAATTTCCAAATGAATCGAAGAAACAACTGTTCATTCCTGTCTTGACCTCAAGCAAACACTCATTTACCATCATATGTGAATAGTCTGCGATGGTTACACTTCACTCAGTAAAGTGGACAACTGGAACGATGAGTGTTTCGTCTGACGTCTTTGTAACTGGGACTAGGACCAAAAGCTGGGCGCGGTAAACTGTGAGATTAAGAAGATACTTCCGTCAAGTAAGCCACAGGTGAATGCGAATCTCTGAGCTTTTGGACGAAATATGCTCCGGATAAATGTCCATTAAGGTAAAATTAAGCCGCTGTTAATGCTACATAATACTTGCTACAGCTGTTAAAATATCACGGAAATTGATCCGCGTAGGCGATAAAAAGGATAAAGTTCTCGGCGTTGATCAATCCTTGCGGGATGCTCCATGCGTTCGACTTCACTAAGTATCGTTTGGAGGTGAATGAATGCTTATCTGACCTTTACAATAACTCGCGGTGGCCTACTGATGTGTCGAACCAGTACTGCTATCCTCCTAGACAAGTCTGGTAACAATTTGCCGACCACAGAGAGATGGAAGGCTTAGTGGGCCATGGGCGTGGGGATTGATTCCACGTCTGGCGCCTCCAATCACTGCTCCACACGCGATAGTATTGTGGAATAAAAGTTAAAATAGCCGACGAAAAAAACAATTCTTAAGGATCTTCCTCTATTGGGGGCGATTACTTGACAAGAAACACAATTTGGTGTCGACAAACGGGGTGAACAAAAACTGTTTTAAAGAAATCTAGTTTTTTTCCTCTGAACAAACATCGCTCATACACTTCACATGAAAGGTTTCGACACTAAAACAAAACCAAAACAATAACACTTTTTTGAAAGCGTCATCTCATTGCCATTGTATATCCCAGCACAACAAACTTTCTCCGAATTAGTCGAACATACCAGTATTAGCTAGTGTAGCCAGATAGTAACTACAGCGTGTGATACTGGTACTGGTTTACTCACCACTGTACATCACATCTCAAGAAATATCCTCCCCCCTCTCCCCTCTCTGACTAGCGTTGGGGTTTAAGAAAACCCTGTGAGACATGGATTCCACTCTATTCGTAGGATCGCAAACATGAAAAAATGAATACTTGGCCAATACAATAACACGCTCGAGCCTACCGATGCATCAAATCAGTGCTCTTATCATTCAAAGCAAGCCAGGTATCAATTTACCTAACCCGGAGAAATGGTGAGCTTCGTTGGCATGTCGTGAATGAGCGAACCAAAGCAAACTCGTGGTCTGGCCTCTCTACCCACTACGCTAGGCGCGAAGCCACCATGAGGAGACGGCTAACTGTTGGAGGAGAACATGGAACAATTACTCGCAGTTATTCTTCCGAAAGTTCGCAATGTTGTTTAATAAGGTTAGCCTCAGAAACTGGACTGCTCGAATGACTACAAAATGTGTGACGTTCAACAATTTTAGCTTAACTGAGACTTAGATGAATTTCGAAGATTCGCAAAAGAGTAGGGATTGTAGAAGAAAAGTTGCCCTTTTCGGATTAAGGATGTCCTTAGTCTAAACTACGCCACAGATGTTCCAATAACACTAACAGCCACTTTTTCTTTTTTCAGTGAAACTTAACTAACATGGTGAAAATAAAGAGCTACGAGGTGTTACTTAATAAGAAGAATGCTTGAAACTAATAAACTCCCAGATATGCTTCTGTTCAAACAGAAACTTCCTGATTTTCTCTTCCTTTGCAAGAAGACTTTATAAAAATCCAGTAGCGGAAGTAGGGACCCCTGAAAATTTTTATAGCATAGCGTCACTGAATGGAATTAGATGCAAACTATCAAGGTTTTATAAGAAAACAATGCTTTAAATGCTTATTGATTGAATAGAACGAATTTATAAAAGATCGACAACCGAGTTGATCAATGACAATGTCAACCAAGTGTAACTGCCACGACCGACTTTCTATTAACCTCGGCATTGATCAAGTGATTTTGTTCGTATTTTTTTGAGCAAACGCGAG